CCCTCTCTCTCCCTGGTCTCTATCTCACACGCACACAAACAGCGACCAGGTCGATCTAATTATAATTTTAAAATGTCTTGAAATGCTTTTACAAAAGTGTTTTTTTTTTAACCCAAACCCCCTCCAAAACCCCCCAAAAAAACTTTTTACTTTTAAAATGCACCCCCTCCCTCCTCTCTCACCCCCACCCCCCACCCCCCCACCCCCACTTCCATCCAAAATATATTAATATTATTATTATTATAAAATATATAATATGCTGTGAACGTTCACAACGAAAAAAAAAGGAACCGAGAGGGATCTTTCTTGAGCACTGACTTACACTGCCCGTTCGTAAAGATCGAATGGTTTCCGAATAGCGCATTTGAAGCAAAAATAATATATATGTATATATATATTTATAAACGAGCAGGTAAAACAATTTAGGATTATGAGGATCATTTTTAAGGGTTATTCCTTCCTCCCACACCCCCCCTCCTCCACCCCCTCAAAAAAAATCGAAACAATCATTGAAAAATGACTTTCCCCCAAAAAATCTCATATTTGCTTTTTTTTAAATTAAATAGAAATCATCGCAATTATATTTTTGGAATTAAAAAACATAGATCCATCAGAGTTTGAATGTATCTCTCCCTCCCCTCACTCCCTCCCTCCCTCTCTGCTCTCTTTATTTTCTCCCCCTCTCCCCATCTTCTCTCCCCCCTCCCACCCACCCCTCTCCCCTCTCTCTCTCTCTCTCTCTCCTCTCTGCCTCTCTCTATGAACGACTCAGAACAGAACAGTTCCCCTCAAGTGATTATGTTAATTGATGTTTGATCAAATGATTAAATTATAATTCGATTAATCCTGCAGAGCTAAACGCTTCCAACTCATTTCCAAGCGTTTGACTTACAATTCTTATTCCTATATATATATGTATACATATGTATGTATTTCCACACACACATACATACATAAAAATGCACCTTTTTTTTCGAAACAAATCCACAACAATAGCCAAATATCATTAAAATCTAACCCCACTGCATGTTCGCCAGTCAGAGAAACCAGTAACGATTTTGCGGACGTGTTTTCTGCACTTTATTTTTGTCCTTCAAGTCTTGTGGAGAGAGAAAGAGAGAGAGAGAGAGAGAGAGAACGAGAAAACAAGTGGCAAAATCTGATTGAATTTGGTTTATAGTGGTTTAATTATCGAATGAGTAAGGGATTGTCTGTCTACCTGGCTATATATATATTATATATCATATATATCATATATTATATATAACATATATCATATATTATATATAATATATATCATATATTGTAAGTAATATATACTATATATCATATATATTATATATAGATACTATATCTATCGTGATGTGGAGGCTTGAGACATGTGTGTGTGTGCATGTACATGTATGTGTGTGTATGTGTGTGTGTGTGTGTGTGTGTGTGAGAGTGTTTTAACAGGAAAAAAAAACCCAAGAGATTAATAATTCTAAGCGAAATCGAGTGAGATGTCCACAGTTACCTGATTTCACTGCATTAAGCAATTGTGTGGTGTGGCTAATTGATCAGGGAGGTGGGGGGAGGTGGTGAGTGTTAACCTGGCAGAGGCAAGGATGTGTGTGTGTGTATTTATTTTAAAAAGGGGGGAAAAAACCCAAGAGATTTATAATTCTAAGCGTCTGAAATGTTCACGAATTCACTGCAGTTAGCAATTGTGTGGTGTGTCTAATTGATCAGAGGGATTAGTGTTAACCTGACATGGCAGAGGCTCTTATATGTATGTGTGTGTGTGTGTGTGTGTATGTATATATATATATATATATGACTGTGTGTGTGTGTGCTTGTATAATTAATCTTTATTGTTAGTGGAGTTAAAATTACATTGCAGAAACTGAAGGGAGAGAGAGAGAGAGAGAGGGGTGGAGGGTATCGTTTGGTTCAGAGGGGAGGGGGAAGTCTTGTGAATAATTCTTCAACTCTCCCCCCACCCACCCATGGGTAGTTAGGGCCATCAAAACAGGGGTGCTTTTTGTTCATCCAGCTTTGCAGATGGGTGGTGGGGTGGGGTGGAGGGGGGGGGGGAATGTAATGATAATAATCCTTGCATTTGATATGACGCCTTATCACGTCCTTGAGACGTCTCACAGTGCACAGAATGTACTGTGAGGTGGTTTGACGGTACGTTGCGGGCGAAACGCGACAGTCAATTTCGCGCAGCAGTTAGTCAGTTCGTTAGTTAATACTCAAAAAATTATAAAAGAGATAATATGCAATCGATTTGCCCCCCACCCCCCACCCCGCCTCGTCAATTCCCCGTGCTGTCAACAGTAAAGGCTGTTCATTTTAACTCGAGGGATATTGAGCGCTGATGCTAGTCTTGATTATGTTGACAGACAACCTTATTTTCGCTAGCTGGTTTAAATGAGTTCCTAATACCTTAGGAGTCCAAACCTGGGGCTGCTGCTGTTATCTATCCTTGCATTTGATATAGCGCCTTATTACGGCATTGTGACGTTTCAAAGCGCTTCACAGAATGTACTGTAAAGACTGTTT